CCCGCGCCCCGCTCTCTCGGGCACCGAGGCGTCCCCGCGCGCGCCCCACCAGCCTGCGCCGGGCCGGAGCCGCGACCCGAGCCCGGGAGGAGAAGGCGAGGCGGAAAGGCACTACCGCTTCACGGAACACTTTTCCCTGTTTGGAAAGAAAAACGAGTGGAGAAAGAGAGGGAAAAAAATTGAGCTGGAACCACATGGTTGCCTCCTACCGCAGCCCCTCCCTCCTGCTCGCCCTCCTCCCTCCCTCGCTCCCTCCTCCCCGCCTTCGGGGCGAGCTGTCGAGGCCGGCGGGCTGCGGGCAGAGGCGGCCGATGGCCGGGGCCGGGAGGGAGGCCCCGGGGTTGGGGCTGTCCGGGGGCAGTTTGGCTGCAAGCGCGCTCGGCTAGGACTGACGGACTCTGCGTGGCGGAGAATCCGCAACCCTTGGGCCGGGAGCTGCTGCACGGATGAGGCCTCTCCAGCGCTCTGTTCTCACTTTGTCCTCCTCTCCACTCTCTGGCTGGCATCTTCTTTCCCCCTCGATCACATGCTCTCATTCCACTTCTCTCACAAACCAGCCCCGCATCGCCCTCCTTTCCAGTTTTCTCTTATGTACCTTCTTCTTGCTACTCCTTGCTCGCCTCCCCGGCCGCTCTCTGCCCTCCCACCCTGCCCGGGCAGTGCAGGCCACCAGGCTGGCCACAGGGACTGCTGCGTGTGGAAATGCGTCCTGGGACAGGTCTGCAGCCGGCTTGGCCGCTGCTTTTCTGACTAACCACCTTTTTGGTCACCTCTCGGTCCCACTTCGCCTGGCTTTGCCTGGCCTTTTACATTTGCTCTTTCGCCTGTCAGCCTTTACAGCAGTGGACCCTCAGCCTGGGCAGAGCCAGGCTAGCCATCACCCCATAGTCCAACGTGGGGGGCCGTAGAGAACTACTGGACCCAGACCCAGCCGCCCAGCGTGCACTGTATGTGGCCGCAGGGAAAATACGCATCCCTGGCGTTCAGAAAGCCGGGAACGTGCCAGGGCCCAGAGGCCCGCATGTGCTGCAGACCGGAGGGTTCCCCCAAGTCGGCCTTTGGGGATCTGCTGGGCGGGGAGAGGGGCAGGGAAGGAGAGGGTTGTGTGAGCCGCACTCTGGCTGTACACTCCCAGCGTCTCTGGAAGCCCCTCCAGGGGCCTGAGCTGGGGCCTGCGCCTCAGAGCTGCGGTCTGCTGCCATCCCTGAGTCCCTCTAACTAGCTTAGTCCTTCCCCGTGGTAATAAAAACCAGTCCTGTTTCGTAGACAAAGGGCTGAAGGTCACCCAGACCCTTGGGCAGGGGCGGGGCGGCCCCCAGGCGCTGGCATCTGCTGCAGAGCTGCTGTAGTCCAGCGGAAGGCGCCTTTGCTGAGCACTGGCACCTTCAGAAACTGCTTCTTCTGGTCCACTCCGGGCTTTCTTAGGCATTGAGGACACAGAGTGTCTGCAACGTGGTAATTAATTGACATTTTAAAAATTGGAATAGGTAGGTCATGGACACCAACTGTGGGCCAGGGATCCTATTAATTAGTTAATGTTTCTACTTTTAATTCTTAGGACAGTACCAAACACAGGCATTATCAATTCCACTTTAAAGGTGAGGGAACTACGGCTTAGGGTTAAATATCTTTGTCCCAGACCACAAAATGCTAAAACTCCTGTATTCCAAAAATAATGTTATAAGTTAACAGTATTATATTTTATATTATGATGTATTTAAAAGGTCTGCTGGACTCTGAAGTAATTTTGTTTTATACTTTATACATCTTGTCTAATAGGGACATAGATATATTCACAACTATAATTCATATGTGAATGTATTGAAAAAAGAATGTAAACATTGAAGAAGGTGAAAGAGAAATTACAAGGAGGAGATAATTTTTGTTGTTTCTGCTTTATATTTTTTAAAGTTTTGACATAATTTCAGACTTACAAAAAGTTATAAAACTACCCCGAAGTTCTTGGATACCTTTAACCCGGATTTCCACTTTTTCTTTCTTTCTAGGGGAGGTATATTTGCACAGTCTGAAAGCCCCACCCGTACTCCACCACACGGCTGTTTGATGCTCAAGGGCTGGTGTGTGTGAATGCCGGCAGATTGCCCAAGGTCCAGGTATCATTATGTCTTCAGCTCTAGGTCGTCTGTCATGAGCACAGGAAATAATTAGCTCAGCTGAGATGAAGTCTGAAACACTCCAGCTTCCCGGGTTCAGAGTCTTGTAGGCAGGAGGTTATTTGGTACATCTTCCTTGCGGGGCGGGGTGGGGGGGGTTGGGGGGTGGTCTTTGAGCCCCAGGAGATAAACATCCCTGAGTCCAAAGCCTTGTTTCTGGTGCAGAATAGTGTGGAAGTGCCTCTGGAGATAGTTTGAAATTCAGCAAGGGCCGGGGATACAGCTCAGTGGCATAAGCGCTTGCCTGGCAAGCCTGAGGTCATGAGTTCGATTCCCAGTATGAAAAGAAAAAAGACTCAGCAAGCCTTTGCCAATCTAACTGGCTCCCACAAAGCGTGTGCTGGTTACCTTAGGCAATCTGAAAAGGTACGCAGCAGCCCTGACCCCTAATGGACCTGCGGGCCAGTGGGAGAGAAAACATCACTGTGAAATGGTTCAGCAACAGCACAAGAAGGCAACATTAGATGATAAGACCTGGCAAGGACCCCGGGATAGTGGCTTGAAGCAAAATTGTGAAAAGTTCTGAATGGAAGGCAAAGAATTCTGGAACTTGTTCTGCAGGTTCTCAGCAAAAGGTGTTAATAAAAAAGTGCCATAATGAGGACCATAGGAAATGCAAGTTGGCAGCTTCTGCTCACGGGGGACCCCAAAGGGCTGGCCAGTGGTGAACTCTGCATCCTTTTCCTATCCACCCACCTTCCCACCCCTACACTTTAATGTGAACAGTTGCCACTGTATCAGTCATTCATAAAGCGTTGCCACTGTATCAGCATTCAGAGCTGATGTATTGGAAGGGGAAACCTGGAGCAGAGGAACTGGTTGGAGCCCGTTGCATTAAATAGGCAGATAAAAGGAGGGTGGCAAAGCAAACATAAGACTTTTGGAAGAAACATCAGTGCCAGGCATGGTGGCGCACACCAGTCATCCCAGCACTTGGGAGGCTGAGGCAGAAGGACTGCCTCAAGTTCAAGGCCAGCCTGGATTACCTAGTGAATTCAAGGCCAGCCTGAACTACATAGCAAGACTTTGTGTTGAAAAGTAAATAAATAAATAAAAATAAATAAAATAGGACCAGGGATACAGCTCAGTGGCACAGCACCTGCCTGGCAAGCACAAGGTCTTGAGTTCGAGTCCTGATACCAAAACAGGAAAAGAAAAGGAAAGGGAAAAAAAAAGATTAGAAAGGATTAGGAATCTAATAGTCACTGTGGGTGGAAGAGGACGGAAAGACAAATGAGACATCAAAGATGAGTGTTAGAGAGCTAATATATTGTTATATATGCAAAAATTAATAGCAACCACTTCTTTACCTCCTGTTAGTGTCTTAGTTACTGTCTTGTCACTGAGATATAGTACCTGACACTCATAACTCTAAGGAGGAAGGTTGTATTTTGGCTTACAGTTTGTAGAATTTCAGTGTGTAAATGGCCGGCTCCAAGGCAGGGCAGCATAGGGGAGGAAAAATAGCTCAGGGCATGGTGGTGGGAAGCAGAGAGTAAAAGAGAGAGAGAAAGAGAGAGCTAGATCAGGGGAGAAGGGAGGGAGGGAGACCCTTCCAGGCCACATTCCACACCCCTTTCTCCCACCAGGCTTCGCCTCCCAATACCACATTTAACCATGAACCCATCTACTGACGAGTGTCCCACCTCCACTTAAGAGCTCATTAGATTTGGTGGCCATTTAGATATAAACCATAATAGTAAGACTGACAGTATCGTATTACAATGAAAATACAAAGGCTCAGGGAGTTAAGTAAAGTGCATTCTACCCCATGGTTAGTAAATGATTAAGGCAAAATCTAAAGAAAGAAGATATCAAACCTCTCTCACTCACTTCTTTGGATTGGATTGCTGATAAACTTGGGAAGTCGGGTAGTTAACTTGTCAGGAACAGAAAAATAAATCACTCAATTACTTTGAGACATGGTAACTCTGAGGGAATGATACACCATGACCCCATCCATCCACCTATCTATCTTTCTGGGGTTTTTTCTTGCAATTTATCATTCAAAGCTGAATGTGTAGCTCCATCATAGAGCGCTTTGTGAGATACTTACTGCGTACCAAGTACGGGAAAATCAGTGCTGACCAAGGAAAAGTCCTTGCTCTCTACAAGCTTATGGTGAATTAAGAAAGATGAACACAAGCAGTCATGGTGTGCAGTGAGAAAGTACAGAGGGCTGTGGTGGTGAGAGAGAACTCTGCCTAGTACAGGAGAAGTCAAGGAGAACAGCCCAGGAGAAAAGGTGTGTAAACCACAACGAAGATGGAGATCTCTGCTATTCTCCCACCTCCTGTGATCCCAGGAAACACTGGACCAGTGTTTTAATCCCTTTGGGGTCTGTATCCGCCTATACCCCATCCTCACAGTTGAAGATACAACTCATGGGATATTTAGGAACAGGTAACTCTGGCTCATGCAAAGAGCTCCGGGATAGGTGGCAGAAAATTTGGGCTCTTGGTGGGCTATGCCCAGGTCCTCTAGTTCACGGACCCTTCCTTTCCTCTGCCTACCACTGCTATGAAGAAGAGATAAATTTATGATGAGGGTGTCCACTGTCTAACACATACACAACTTGGTAAATATTTGTTCCTCCAAAAACTAAGTGGAGTTCCTAGGATTCCATTCCCTGCAGCTTTCAGTCTCATTTCCTTTTTCTATTAAAACAAGGTTATCTTTATATATTCTTTCCTGTCCTACAAGGATATTTTTCAATTTGGCCATTCAGGGTGTTTTTTTTTTTTTTTTTTTTTTTTTTCCTGGCAGGACAGTCAAAGGCCCCAGCTGGCTTTCAGGGCCAGGCCTGGACAACTTTTGCTGGTGCTGTCTCAGGGCCCTGTGTACTAGTGGAGACTAAGAAGCCGTTCTCCTCATCATGGTAGTGGAAGCAGCTGTTCCCTTCCCAAAGGGCTAGGGAGAGGTGTAACGGTGAGAGGGTTCAGGACCTGTTCTATGCACACCTTGCGTGGGCACAGTACCCAGCGGTGACCTACGCCG